CGCGCGGATGGGCACGGGGTGGGGCGGGGACGGAGACAAGACTTCAGTGCGGACGGGCCTGCGCCGCCTGCGGACAATACCGAGTGAAGTGCGCACAGCGAGCCCGGGGAACGCGTCGCCTCGCGTCCGAGACCGCAACCCGCAACGAGTCGAACCGATACGTGTCCGGGACGTACCCGTGTGTGTGTGAGAGAGAGAGAAAGAGAAAGCGAGGGAGAGAGAAGAAGAGCGATCGCGCGTGTGAGCGTGTGCCATACCGGAGTGCGACCAGTGCCGTGTTACACGGAGGCACCCTTCCCCAGTGCAGTGTCGTGCCCCTCCCCGTGGTGGTAGTGCAGTGAAGTGTCTGGGCGGGGTGGGCCCTGGCCCGGCCCTGGCCCTTGGGCCCCGGTGCCCAGTATGTGAGACCGCCCGCCCGCCTGTAGCCGAGCCGGCCATGCTGCTGCTGCTGTGGGCCCCCCCGGCCCCCGCGGCCTTCGCGAGCCCGAGGCCCAGGACCTCGAGGGGGTGGTCGCCGTGGTGGCTGCCGGCGCTGGTGCTGGCGCTGGCGATCCAGGGCGCGCAGGCGGCCCGGGGGTCGGTGCACTGCGCAGAGCGGAGGGACATCACCCCCTGCACGTGCAACCCCATGACGAGGTCCAGGAGCATCGAGGTGATGTGCGAGCGCATGACGTCCTTCGGCCAGGTGGTGACGGCGCTCCACGGCCGCTTCCAGCCGGGCGTCCACATCGCCCTGTCCGTGTCCTTCTCGCAGCTCGACGACATCCCCGAGCGAGGCTTTGACGAGCTGGGGCTCTCCGTGACCAAGCTCACGCTCAAGGGCAACAAGCTCAGGTGAGCACCACGGCCTTCCCGGGGACGCATCCCTTCGGTCACACCCAGCAGTATCCGCGCCCGTTTTCCTTGGGCCACGATCACACGAACGGAATAACACACCCACTGATCGTGATCAGCAACTGTGCGTCACAATTTTTTCCCTTCATCTTCTGGCGGTTGACGGCTGGGTGCTGTGGACCCCAAGAGTCCCAAGGAACCGGGAGGGAAGGACTCGGGCCACAATAGAACTATATTCCAATAAGTTTCTAATAAGGGGAGGAGTCGGGGAACAAGAAAACGGAAGTCACCATGTTACAGCGTTGTGATTTCCGTTTTCTTGTTCCCCGTAATCTTCATTTCAGCCGCAGCTTTACTGGGAATGGTTTATTGCACCATCCGCGGCATGTCAGGGTTTATACTTCTCCGTTCCACAATTTGGCCCGTGGCCGCTGCTGGACGCTCTGCCGTTGGCTCGCCGTTGGCCCTGCCGGCCCGACCCGACCCGTCCCCGGCCGCGCCGACCCATCCCTCCCAGTCCCTCACAAAGCAAACGGCGTAAACGCTCCGTCAGGCTCCGTCGTGTGAAGTCGCTCGCATTGCGGAGGCTTTAGCGGAGACGCCTCCTCCCCCTCCTCCCTGGGCCATGTTGTTGACATCAACTAGCATCTCTGCCGTGTGACGTCAGCCTAGAGAAGATATGAAGAGCAATACCTTAACCTTAGGGAGTTGCCTCGGTTGGAGGAAGAGGCAGCTCGGCGTCGCGCATGACCGTCGCGACCTCCGTCATTGACGCGTCTGTAGATTCTGAAAAGTTCTGGACGAGAAACGTCAAATCATCAACTACTTACGTCAAAGCGGGAGCGGGGCGGACCGCGCGCGCGTCGTCTTTGTCACAACGGTGACGGGGCCGGGCGAGCACGCGCCGCCTGGGCTGCGCTGGGCTGGGCAGGCTGGATGTGATGTGAGCTTGCGATTGTCAAGGCTGGCGCTGCTGGCGGTGCCGAGTGCAGGCAGGACGGGGGCCCAAATAGGCCGCCGCACGTACGTGTGGATTCAGTTGCACTTTCGGTTGTGTGTGGATGCGCGTGCTGCGCCGCCCCGGTGGTGCTCCTGGCGGCCGGCTGCTGGTGTGACCTCGGACTGGAGGGTCGTTAGAGAGCTATTTTGACCGACTTAAGGGTGCTTCTGGCAAGCTCTCCGATACCCCTTCTGGTTCTGGGTAGGGGCAGCCGCAACTCGATAGTGAAACGTCAGGCATCGTCGTGATGCTTCAAGTCCTCGGAGGGCGGGGATGCTGTAGAGGAGTGCGAGTGTACCGGGCGAGCGAGCGAGCTGCAAAGGAATGGCAAGTGATCTAGTTAAGGATATTTTGAGGGGGAAATGAGTGAACTCAGATTTTTTTTTTTTGACTGGAAACAATTCTAAAGGTTGTTATCCTGTGAAAATATTCGTGCTTTGGGAGGAGCATGCTTTGAAAATAATTCAGGTGGCTCGCGCACTTTTGTAGTTAGGGTGGTGCTGGTGCATAGAACCCTTCCTTTATTTTGCTGATACTGTACTGCACGCAGGCGTGCAGGCGGGCTTGCCTAGCCTAGCTCGCCGTTGCGCCTTAAGGCCCCGTGCAATGTATGCAACACGACCGCACGGCTGCATCCGGTGCAGTATAAGCAAAGTGAATGAAGGTGTCTGTGGACCACCCTATTCTGTACTGTACCGCATACTGCTCGAGTGCTGGCGTGTTGCCTACCCGGTTGGGGTCGTTAGGCGCCGTGGTCAGCGACAATAGGCAAACCCGCCCGCCTGCATGCGGTACAGTACGACTGCAGAAGTACGCTCAGTTACTCAGTACTCAGCCACCTGGTACATTTGCGCTGGGCAGACTTCTTGGAATGCATCTTGCCAGCCATCACGTCCAGCTGTTTGTAAAGAATAAACATCTTTGAATTTATCTCTTTTCAAAGAAGGAAGGGGTTCACTCTCTTCCTCTTTAAAATGAATTGAATTCGCTCTAAGGGTTTCCGAGTTTAGAAAAAACATGGAATAGTTCCAGTTTACTGTGAACAAGCAGTCGTTATAAACCTTGTTGAAGTTGGAGATTAAATCACATATGTGGTACGCGAGGATGGGGCCTCGTAGGATGCTAAGAGAGACAGACCTCATGTTGCGCCATTTCGAGAACAGATTTCACGGTATAGTACAGTAATTAAATCATGGGAAAGTCACACACAGGCTGGCACAAGGCACATAGGCGGGCACAAGGGACTAGGCTGCCATGATCGTCCGATGGAGCCCTTGATCGTGGGGATCATCGGGAGCCTTTTCTCTATACGATGCGATAGGCTTCGCATGGACCTGCGGGAATTCCCCATGGCCGAAGGTGCACGGGACCGTAGTCGTCATTGTAGAACGAACGAAAACCATGGTAATCTCTGCTTATCAAGGGGCCAACTTCCTGGGATCCCATGGCGCCCATGGGTTTCTGGACCGGGTAACGGTCCTGGTTCCCGCCAGGGTCCACCCCTCCCCGCTGCGCCCCTCTGCTGCCGCGTCACTCGGCCGTCGCATGTTTGCCGAGTGGGGGGTGAGTGGTGCAGGCGAGGCAGCCGCCGGTCGGTGATGTAAGGCGATCAACACAACACGTCGGGCTCAAGTCAAGGACCGAAAATGTCGTCTGCTCACGTTTTGACACGAATGTTGTTTTTCTATGGCCGACCCACAGCTGATGGGAGTGAGGGTCCTCCTTATCTCGTCCGGTCTCGCTCGCTCTCCCTTCCCCGCGGACTCTCTCACTTTCTCTCCTTCTCTCCCCCGCTCTCTCTCTCTCTCACACACACACACACACACACACATACTCACACACGCTCTCACTCACACCCTCCGCCACCCGGTCAAACCAGCATGCATGGTGGTGACTTTCTCCAATGACACGAGTGATGTTGTTTTAATTGTTCTCGGCCCGTGCACGACAACCTTTATTTTGGCGAGGAAAAGTATGCAAAGATCTGGAAATTGGTGCAACCAGCACAACGATGTGTAACTGTAAACAAATCTTCCGGATCGGTTAGTCATGTCTGCGTCGTCGTGCCCGACCCCGTCTGTAACTCCTTGCACTCCGCGCCCGGCCCCCGCCCCTGCTCCCGCCCCGCTCTGCTATCTCGTGCGTGCCTGGTCAGGCCTGGTGGTGACTCGCCCTGCCGAGGGAGGGCCGAGGAAGGCCCGGAGCATTTAACCAGCAGCAGCGCTGCAGGGGACTTTCCACCATGTTTTCTAACAAACGGAGCAAGATGTAATCGTAATTTCACCGCGTAGATTTACGTGGACAAGTTTTGCAGTTCAAACTGTACAACTGCATAGGGGTAGGTTGACAGTCCAAACTGGGTAACTTTTGTAAACTGAAAGACTTCTAATTTTGCAGAGTTAAACTGTGAAACTTTAAGTTTTTCAGTTCAAGCTGTCATCTGTTTATACCAGTTGGCTGATTAACCCCGCGCAGCGCACCTCTGGAGTTATGTTATGCCGCATTCTTACGTTCGGCTCGTTAGCTGCCGTGGACAGGGACGGTAGGCAAGCCTCGCCCACCACTCGTGCGTGCGGTGCAGTATCACTACAGAAGTGCGCGGCTATAATTAACCACCTAGGACAGTTCGGTTTGCAGAGCATGGGCGCGTCAAAGGCTGTAGGCGTGAAAGCGGTAGGGGGGGGGG